AAAGAATATAGATTTATATTACATCCAGCCATATAGGCTATGTGGCGAGAAGTAAGACGACTTTCCGGTTCATGTGTAACTTAGTTGCTTTGCTAGCAAAGAGAGCAGTGACTAGCTTGGACAGGGGTGAAGTCGTCGGTAACTGTAGTGCGCCGTGTAGACGGAGTACAGACGAATTTTACTTCTTCATGATGAATATATGGTTTTTCTAAAACCATTCGACTCACTTGTGTGTTGTGAAAAATTTCCAATGGTAATATTATTATTGCTTATTTGCTTTAGTTAATGAATGTTAATTGGTCAAGATCTACCATGAATAACAAGGTTGAATGGAGTTGAGCAGTCTTTGCTATGAAAGATTTGTGACCGCAAGCAAATCTTGATAAAATTGTTCGTGATCGCAAGAGTGGCTGATATTGCGTTATCTCCAAGAAAGCTACATTGAGAAATTTGAGAGTTCAAAAGAAAAGCAAAGAGTTCTGGTTGTCCACTTGCGGGTCCTTCAAACTTAGTTCGAATCAATGTCTCACAAGTGAGAAAGACAAAGAAGAGATGTGAACAGTTCCTTAGCTTCAGCAGTTGTGTCTGTGATGTAGCCATGTTTTGTACAAGGCCGGATAGCTCATGCAGTTGGGTGGCTGAGTCACGAGGATCGTTTCTCCTAATCGGCGTAAAGGACATTGGCACGGTAAATGGATTCAAGGATACTTCGAGGTACTTCGAAGGTGTTTTGTGTTTTGAGATGGTAAGCTGATGTCTTATGGGTTCAGATGATACTGACATGGCCGGTGTGTATTCTAGGGAAATCTACTTCGGGTATGTGACTTTTTGCAGTGGGAGCGTTGTGGCATGGCAATCTAAATTACAAAACATGTTGGCTCTCTCACTACCGAACTGAATTTTATTGCCATTACACGGAAGCTTGCAAAAAAGAGTTATGGTTGAAGAATTTTGCAAGAGTTGGGTTTGCAAGCAAAGAAAAGTAATGCTTTAATTGTGATAGTCAAGTGCTATTCACTGCAGTAGAATCTACTTTATCATTCGAGAAAAACATATCGATAGCTTGAGAATTCCACTGGATTCGTGATGTCGTTAGATTCGAAATTGTTACAAATCAAAAGGTTTCACACAGATGAAATAATATTTCAGATATGCATGACAAAACTCAGTCAGGGACAACATTTAAAGTTGTTCGAACTTTGGCGGTATGGTTGATCTCACCTAAGTCGGAGGGGGAGAATTGTGAGCTATACCTCCTATTGGAGTGTGTGGGACCCAATTGATCTAATTAAAGAGTTTAATTCTGGCTTGGTTTAGGATATAATATATTTTATATATTTATATTGTGGAACCTAATCAATTTAATACAATGGTTTGATTTCAAACCCCAGATTTATCACTATAATATCAATTAATAATATTATATTATTGTTCAACACAGAAACAAAAGGTGACGGAGCCTTATGGTTTATTTTTTGTTTTCAAAGGTGAGCAATCCATTGGTGATCATTAATGTTGGTGAGATAGTGCTTGGTCCATAATCAAATTGGATGTTTTGTTTGGTTGTGTGAGTGCCGTGTCTGGATCAAAATAATGGTGGTATTATTATTCGGTTTGGTGCTGCTTTGAGCATAAGTTCGTTCGTCTTATTTTGATCTTCTACAATTCTGATTCTGAAGATTTGGTTCTTATTTGTGAGTTTTCCTCTTTGTTATTTTGAATTATTGAATTCACCTAAGGGTGTTTTGTGAGACATTAGTTGTCTCGTTGTAAGTTTGAATATTTGTTGATAGTGAATCGGATTTCGATCCCGTGAGACCTACTA